CGCAACAATTGAATATGCAAGTTTATGCCAGCAGTGACGATCTATACCACGAACGGAGCGACGATTTCACGCGAACAGCCAGCGCTCCGACGCGGGGTCTCTTCGATCGCGTGTCATTTAATGGTGCTGGTCGAACAAAGTGCCTAATGAGCATCCGTTTTTCTGGATCGCGATGGATGCTTGTACCCAGTCGTGGATTTAACTAATTGTATGAAACGATTTTTACGCGATACGATCTTATTTCGATTTTTTAAATAGACGGAAACGAGTGGTGAGGGGTGATCGATTGTAAATTGATCACTGTTTCGCACTGCATTCACACGATATATATTCGCCATTGGTCCATTTAATGGATAGACTATACATATATGTATATATATATATATATATATATATATATATATGTTGATAAAATATGTATTACCCTTTGATTTAGCGTTTCTACACGACAGAGATTTTTCCAAGTTTCCGCACTTCTTGATTTACTTGTTTTTCTTTTTCGATCACATCTGCGAGGTATATATATTATGCGCGAAGCCATTATTCGCATAACATATTTATATTATATTTTTAAAGGAGTTTAGTCACTTGGATCTGTGATATAGATAGTAATTATTATCTACAACGTTTAAACTATTGGTTTACTATTTTGATGATATCAAAACGAGGAAAAGGGAAAAAGATAAGGAATGAAAAAAGAAGAGATAAGATAAACAAAATAACGTAACGAAAGCAATGTCACGGAGCGATGTAGGCTTGTCAGAATTAAAAAAAAAAAGAAAAAAAACGGAAGGAAACTGACATATTATTGGTCTCTACCGAAGGTGTGTTTGGTAGACACCCTACTACTACAATACTTTTACAAAACAAACAAAACAGAAAAACGAGAATATTACTATTACTAATGCTGCTACTATTACTATCACTACCAATTATTAGTACTATTCTTACTAATACTCTCACTACCCACCACCACTCACCACCGATATTTTCCCAACTATATATATATATTATTCTCGCTATTATTATTACTACTATTACTACTACGGTTATTATTAATTAGAAAAGCACGCAAACTTCGGTTTAGAAGCATAGACAGCGTGTATTGTTAGGACCCGTGACAACACGGTCATCATTGTTTTTCTCTTTAGCTTTTGAACCTCTTTGAGTTTGATCACTTACACCCTTTTCTTCTACTTCTTCCTTCCCCCACCACCACCCCACCCCGACCTTTTGATTCCTATTACCATCGTCCCACTAATTTCTCTGTACCATTGCTGTGCATGTTACCCAAAAACGATAGGGAACATTTCACCGTGTTGGTATACTCTTTTTACCACAGTAGGGACTATCTTGTGGCGCGGTCACGCGAATGATTTTTACCGCTGGCAGCCGAACCGTATACGACTGAAGCGGTAAGAATCAATCGAGGGCCTCGCCGCCCTAAGCTTTGAAAATCAGTTCCATGGGTGTACTTACTTTTCACATATCGAAGTGTATTGTACACACGGATACATATTGTATATACGTATACATATACATACGGATGTATTATAAACAAAACAAAAAAATACAGCGACGAGCGAATGTGCAGATCGTTAGATTCTAAGTATACTAGGAGTGTAATAGCAGGGCTGTTGATCTATATTTTTTTTTCTCTTCTTCTTTTTAACTTACTGTTAGAGATTAGTTTTTAGCGACTATTCTAATTATTATCATCAACGATGTTCTGGATTATTATTCTTATTGTCACGGTTATTATTAATCTTTTTATCACTAACGCCACAAAGCTTAGAGAACACGAGCGGGGGAACCATGACAGCCGCGATCGAATCGATCGCGATATCGATTCTCGTTTTCTTCGGAACGTATTCGAGTCAGAGTATCGATTCGGAGTCGGTTCAGGACGATTGTATTATGACTCTCGGTACAGTGTGTGTGTCCATGGGGGATCGAATGGAAAAGAACGTCACGCCGAAAAGAGAAATAAGACGAGCAACCGAGAGAACATTAACAAAAAATAATAATAATTAAGAAACAGAAGATTGTTCACGCTAGCTAGCGTATGCTTCGAACTTCCGTCTGATCTTAGGGCCCATTTCGGTGGTCTCTCTTTTTTTTTTTTTGGTCTCGTCACCGAACAAAAGAAAAAACAATTCTCTGCGGCCGCGTACGCCCCGAGGCTTTTCATTTTAAAACGAGACGAAGCGAAGTCACCCGGGCAAGACTGATTTTACCCGCGAAGGATTCCGCGGGGGAGCACGGATGGGAAGAGCAAAAGAAAAAAAATCGTGTTTTTTTTTCTTTTTCGTCGTCCTTGTTGGTTACTCTCGGTTTGTACATACGCGTGGGACGCGTGCATACACACAGACATACACGCCTTTTATACACGCGAGCAACAGATCGTCGTCCTTCATTTTGTCTTTCTTTCTTCTTCTTCTTCTTCTTCTTCTTCTTCTTCTTCTTCTTCTTCTTCTTCTTCTTTCCACGCGCGAAAGCAGAAAGAGGAGAGGAAAAAAAGGAATATATACGAACCCGTTACACACGGGAAAACTGGGTGCAATCGAGAACAAGAATATGTCCTTCATGCTGGCTAGTCATTACGCAGCTCTTACGGAAAGAACAAAAACTATTAATCGTGTACTACTAAAGCTGTGATTCGAAGCCTCCGTGCATATTGTCCGCGCAGCTCTCCTAATTATTATAGCGATGACATATTTTCTAGCTTGTTACAACTGTACATAACCATCGGGTAGCGCTCCGTAGTAGGTATATACAGGGTGTTCCAAAAAGATGGGACAATCCGTAACATGCATATTCCTCGTGCAAATACAAATCGAAAAGTTCTTTACCGTTTTGTAATCTGAAGCTCCGTTTCCAAGATATTAGCAGTTAAACGAACCCCAATCGGCTGAGCGCTGGGCCACGCGTATGCGCAGACCGCTCAGCTGATTGGAGTTCGTTTAAATGTTAATATGTCGGAAACGAAGCTACCGTTTACAAAATGGTAAAGGACTTTTCGATTTGTATTTGCACGAGGAATATGCATGCAATGGTTTGTCCCATCTTTTTGAGACATCCTGTATACCTGAAGAAAAAAGGAAAAAAGAAAAGGAAATTGCGGTTCCCCGAATCGATCGGTCGATCTTTTGTTACGATCTTTTTTTTTTCTCTGGTCCCTTCTACGTTATTTTTCGATGTTTTCTTCTTTCTATATGTCCTTTGTCTGTAGCCTTCTTCTAGTTTCTTTCTTCTTGTCTTCGATATGCGTGCTTTCACGGCGCTGCGCAAGCAGACGTAGGAAATAAAAGAAGCGCTTTCGAGACCCGAGCAACAATGAGTAACGAGCACCGGCGGACCGAGTGCTTTCTTTCTATGGACAAATTGTTGTTGCTCGAGATGTCGATCTATTGTGATAGGATTTTTTTTATCGAGTTTTTATTGGGTTGCACGGAAAGTTTGCGGTGACTTTTGACCCGTTACGAGAGGAGGATCAATTCTTTGCCGCTGGTAGCATGCTGGCTTGCGACTCAAGCGACGAGATTCGAATTCGAGCTTTGCATACTTTTGTCCTGTTATTTATTTATCGTGTCTTGTTTTTAATTGGATCATTATGCTCGATCGTTTCGATCGCACTTGCACCGGTTTTCGATCGAAAATTTGCTTGTTTCGGAATTTTTTTGGAAGAATTGTTTAAATGTCTTGTGTATCTCCTGAAAAGTTGATTTTTATAGAGACTGAAGTAAACGATAGTTTAAAGATGAAAGGTTTGAGAAGTGAACGAAATTTTTATCGAGAAATTAAAAATGGCTTTCGGTTGACTGATATTGAAAATCATTTCTCCTCTGTATTTGTAGAATCTGTATTTAAATTGATTGATCAGTTGCTTGTCGAGGTTTGCTAGCGTCTTCTATTTTGATTGTTAATCGATTAGATGACGAATTTATCAGTGATTTAATCCTTTAAATCGTCCAATGATTCATTGGTAGAAGTTGTTCTTCGTTTTTCAGCTTCAAACGTTTGTTTATATTCTATTTTCAATTCTATATTCAAATGGGCAACCACATTTTTATAAACAAATTCAGTATGAAATTGATTTCACAGTAACAGCATTACGCTAGCCCTAAACATGACTATTCCTGTAATACATGAATAATCTATTAAGTCGTTGCAAGTGAAACGTCTTTTTTATTATTTAATTACATTTTTATGAATGAATGTTATTCACAGTAGTCACCATTTGCAAAGCTTGGTCTGTAATTTTTACGCGGCACTTTTTACTAGAGAAACTACATAAAAGTGTTTAAGATTTAATTTAATTAAAACAGATAGTGGATTAGGATGAGATTTAACTAAAATCTCTTCGTGTATTTACACTTGAAAATTTGTCAGTTAGGCTTAAAAGTAAATTTCGTAGAACTTTATCTGCGATTTTAATACAGATTTTTCAGTAATGTTGTATTGAGCAGGAAGACTCCTATTATTAGCTGTACCAATAAGTGGATTCGTCTACAATCTACAATATTCTACCAGATTCGATATTTATTTTCTAGAGAAACAGAAATCCGTGATATTTCAGTAATATTTGTCTTCATTCTCCAAAGACGCCTCCATTTTAAAAGAAACAAAAGGAAAAAATGTTTTCAATTTTGTCTATCATACAGGTTTATTAACAGGAAATAGCATATTAATTATTGGTACACCTGGTAATAATGTTTTCTAAAATTTTCTTTTGAATTTACAAATTTCTTTCAAGTTAACAAATTTTTTTAAATTTAAAAGTTTCTTCCAAATTTAAATATTTCTTTAAATTTACAAATTTTTTTCAATTTCAATAATTGTATGAATACACGTATTTCTCATTGTCGAATGCAAACAGTTACACTTTATCCAATAAAATCCTTTCAAGTCGAATAAAA